GCATATAAGTTTGTGGTGAAAAATAAATTATTTTGGTTGATTGAATTTTGTTTATATTAAGATTATTACCAGTCATTATGTACTCCGGAGCAGCGTAGCCATGAGTGCCCATAACACGTGTTGAGATATGCGTTTCGTCGCCTTCAGGGCCATCCTTCGCTAAACCGAAATCTGAGAGCTTTGCGGTGTAGTCCTGGTGAGTCATGACATCAAATTTTGTATTAGAATCGGGTTCATAATCATTTTTATAATTATAATAAGCTTTTGATTGAGATAACAAAAAAAAAAGCTTTGAATTAAAACTTGCACCTACTCGAATTCATCATATTTGGGCAAGCAGAAGTATGCGGATAACAGTCCATATGGCACATTCGAACCATCCTCTGCATGTTTAATGTGCAATGCACGTAATATTTTTTTTCTGATTTAAGGGCATGATCTAAACATTTTAATATTTGAGACTTGTTTATTTTTAGGAAAATTTACATGCGTATCATTCATTTCCTATGAATTTATATATCTAATGTCTAAACTTTCATATTTATATTTATGTTTATAACAGTTTATTGTGATAAAATTATGCATGAAAAGATGCAATCCATTTTTAAGATATAGGTGATAATGATATTTTTGATGCGGTGTTAAAAGATTTGAGTATTGTCTACGTAAATATTAATGTTTGGATGATATATATGTAAATGCACCTTATTTTTTTGAACTTTAAACAAAAGTATTTTATATACTAAGTCAACTTTGGCTTTAAAATAATGCCCCGGCTGTTGAACCAAAATTTTAAGAAAATGTAACACACATGTAATAATGATTAATACTCAAACCAAATTCTAAGCTTTATTATTTCCTCGAAAATATTATAAGGTGTGCCATCCTTTCACTATTTCAAACGCCCAATAGAATGAGAGAGAGTGCGAGAGAGAGAGCGGATCCCGACCTCTCTATCCTCCTATTGGGAGACTGCACGTGCTGCGGACACCGAAAAAATATTTCTTCAGGAGTACTGATGCATCAGTACTCCAATGAAGAGGTGTCACGTATGTAATGGTCCCATCATAATTCCACGTGCCACATCCCTATTGGAGTACTGATGCATCAGTACTCTTGAGGTAATATTTTTTCGCGGCCACCGCACCTGATAACTTTTTTTATTTTCACATGCTAAAAGTAAACTTTGGTCAACAACTAAGACCTACAAAGAACAACAACCAATAAAATCCACCTTTCATTTATTTGCTGTGAGATCAAAGCTATTATTGTGAGCAAACAAATTTGACGTTATAAAGCACTTTAATTAAAACTTAAATGCCTTGATTAATCTGGCATGTGTCACTCTCATTGGACCAGCTGCTCTTCCTAATCCACTCAAGCACGTTGACTTAAGACTAGCCAATGGGAACAAACTATTTATGACTTGGATTTCATTATCATTAAAGTAATTATAATTACCTCATCTAATAATATGTTAGATGCCTTGAAATCTCGATAAATCACTGGTTTGTCAGCCTCATGTAGGAAAGCGAGGCCTTTGGCAGCTCCAACTGCTATCTTCAATCTCGTCAACCATGGCAGCGAAGCGATTACATCTGCAATTAATTAATTACATGTTAAAACTGCATTTGGTCAACTAATTAACTGACTTTATCACCTAACCACAACTTGGCCGCAATCATATGTAAAGTCAAATGAACAGTTAAAGATGATATTAAGAAATACGTAAGCACTTAAAATAGTCTTTACATACTCTTTGTTTAACATAGTTTAATAAATGGATATAATAAAATATTAAATTAATAATATATATATATATATTTGAAATTTAAAAAGCTGACTTTTATTTATAGAAAATACATTTATAATTTCTCATTAACCATTCTTGCTTTGTAACATTAACCTTGATTTGACATCTAATGTTATATCAACGGCTTGCTTTAGGGGGGTTCAACAAACCCGCAGAAAGTCAGTATGTACCTAAACCACTATATATTTATTTATACCAAATCACTATCAGATGTACAAATCAACTATACTTTCGCTTTCTTTTTTCTCTTCATATTTTATTTAATTAATGAAATGAAAAGATTGCCATAAATGAAATGATGCAGCTGATTTACCAATCACAAGGAGCTCAAAGTCAAGATCTGAAAAAAGAGAATTTTGGAGTTTCTGGCTATGCCTGCAGCACCAGTTCATGGAGTCAGACTAACAGTTTCTCCTGATACTTCAAGTTTCAGCAACGATATGTTGAATTTCACTAACAAGAAGGATATGTTGAATTTCACTAACAAAACGGCAGAGAGAAAGCATCAACTTAAGAACAACAGCCGGGAAAGAACTACCGCAATTCTTGCTCCAATGGTGTGAGCTCTTGGTTTACAGAAATTAATTTTAGTAATTTGAGTTGTATGTAAAGCATAAGAAAAATTAAATGTTCAATACAATTTTTTTTAGATTTAGATTTTTATTTTAAGATTTTATTTGTATTTTTTTTTACTCCTCTTTAGTTTGTACATTTTAAATTTTGTAATAAATTGATTCTTATTTTTTAAGTTTTTGTCTAATAATGTTAATATTCTTGTAAAAAACAGTTGTAATCAATTTTGTAAAGTTTTTTGAATTCATCATTTTTTAAGTTAATAAATTTCTGAATTTTAGCATGAAATTTGTCCTTCAAATATTTTTAGACGAAATTATTATTTTTTTTATAAAAAAAAATATTTATTAAATAATTTTATATTTTAACGAGCCATTTTCGAGCCGAACACGAACATGAAAATTTTATTCGAGCTGAACACGAACACACTGTTCACGAGCCATTTCGAACACGAGCCGATTTCGAACACGAGCCAAATTCGAGCGAGCCGAACACGAATAATTTGACATCATAAATTTATGCATGAAAAATATGTATTTTGCTTTTAAATATTGATAAAGTGAAATTTTGATGTGACGTTAAAGATTTGGGTGTTATATTTATAAATATGAAAGCGAAATATATTTTAAACAAAGCAAGCAAAGACCACTTCTTCACACACGTTAAGACATCTTAAACAAAGCAAATGAGAACTTAATTCCTTGCTACTTGATCTTGACAACTTTAACTAGAATTCATAAAGCCAATTATTATGTACCTCAACGAATACGAGAGAAAGAAGTAATACCTAGAAAGAGAGGAGGGAGGGGAGTCAAAACTTTAGCACAACTCTTCATTATTGAAGTGAATATTACGTGCAGAATCAGGAAGTAAAATTACATCCAAACAATACACAAAATACAACGTAACATATATTTTTGTGATGTTCCAATATACAACCTTACATCCAAAGTCAACCCTGACTCAAACCCAATACAATAACCTTCTCAACCTTTCTCTGATCACTCGAAACATTTCGAACATCCATCCTAAAAAGAAGAATGATAATACATAATAATTTTTCCATGCATCAACTTACATGACATCTTAAATCCTACAAGACCTCACTCTATCCCCCTTACTCTCCACAACATCAAACTTATAAAACACACTTATCATAATCACAGCGCAAGCAAACACCAAAAGGGGACCAAACACCCACAGCAAAAGCGGAAGCCCTAAATAAAACAATCTATTCCCCATAATACTGAGCACGTAGGACTTCTCCAATAAGCCCACCACATAATCAGGCTCCACCAAATCCATGCAGCGTTCTCCATCGCTTTCTCCATCAGCGTTTATGAGGAAGCCCACTTGGTTCATGAAACGAACGGAGAGGGAGTAGGAGAAGAAGGCTAGGAGGAAGAAGAGGAGAATAATGGTGAACTTAATGGCTAAAACCCACTCTCCATGAGCTCCCAGAACCTTGTTTTCCATTGGTTTTTTCATAATGTAATTGCTGCTCAGCACAGCTGCCAAGCCTGTGCAGATCAGGACTGACGCTGAAGCCATTAGGGTTTCTCCCATGATTGCGTTGCGTAGTGTCTGAACCGCCATTATGCTCTTTTTCTCATTATCCTGCATCAATAAATATATTTATTTTTTAGAAAATTTACATAAATATCACACAATTGTGTCTTTTATTTATGCTAGAAAATATATAATATTAAAGATTTGAATATTATGCATGCATGTAAATATGAAAGATCATTTTTTTTATATGGTGAACTACATGTTATCTATGCATTAATCATTCAAATTTACTTTAAAGGAGATTTGGATGATGATCTTAGTAGAGGAGCCCTCATTTTATTAAGAAGCCTGCGAATGAATTGAACCGAGTCGAACAAGTGCTCATGCTAGCTCGATATGATCACCTTTACGAAAGCGTTAATTGAAAGAACATGAATGAGCCTACCTTTATGACCGATAGCACCCAAAAACGGCGGCCAATAGAGCTCATGCCAATATCGGTGCATCGGGGATTCGCCTTAAACTTGTGCCAGAGCCATGTATGATAGATGAGGAATAAGAGAAAGGTGAGGGGGATGAGGATTAGATCTAGGTAAAATTTCCTCCACACCATTTTTAACTTAATGAAAGTTTTTATTGCCCTCTTCTCTTTAAATAATGGAGGAGCTTTGGATGAGAAGGGCTTTGATGCAATTTTGTGTGAGGATTTGTTTATAAAGGTATGTGATGTAAGATTGTAATTGGTCAAAAATTATTTTATGAATGGACTTCTAATTTTATATTTTTATATTTTTAATTTACTTGTTATGAGTAGAAGTGATTTGGCAGCCTGACACTTATTAGATAACTTTTTTTCTTTATTAACTTGTAATCATATATATA